AGCCGCATTGGTGGATGACAATGAATCAACTGTGGTGTGAAACTAAAGTATTGAAACAAACTCAACTTAATCGATTCCTATTCATCAGTTCTATTGGCGAGTTCACTGTTACCATCGAAAATATTATTAGGTGTTCATCAAAATCAATATCATGGCCGCTCATTTATTAATAAGAGCGATCTATGACTATCAAGCTTCTGATCTTAAAGTGTTACATTGTAAAGCTGGTGATCGATTCATCATAATCAAACAAACTGAACCTCGAGGTGATTGGCTGTATGTAGTTAACTGTCAAGGTAAACTTGGCTATATTCCAGCTAATTACACTGAACCAGACTCATTGGAGGACTCTAAACTTTTGGAGCTGATTGATACCATTATTTCGGTTCTGGATGCTGACCATAATGATCCAAAAATTATTACTATACGCCAAATCAACCATGCTCAAGTTAAATTAACTCAACTTCGATGTGAAGTGCTTAGCCAACTACAAAGCAAACCAGGAGCTGTTTCATCGAAAAAAATCACCACTAATCAGCCTAGTGATGCAAATTTTATTGAAGTGGTAAATACTAATGATCCTGATCCAAATTTGTATAAACTCGGAGAGAACGACAGTTCTGGTAATGTCCAGGAACATATTCTGGGCTATAATTGTGATTCAATTAATGTACAAAAACCAGTCATTAGCACATCTGAAGCTGGAATCCAAGTCGATTTGATTGAACAAACAACCAATGATCCAACAATTTTAGTTCAAGGTGAAACTACTCTTGATGAAATGGCAACAATTGAAATTGATGATTCTTTGGCAGCTGATCTTATTGAAAGAGTCAGAGTTTCTACAGAATTAAGTCATGGAATGTGTAAATTGACTATCGAGACTGTGATAAATTACTTACGTGAAAAAATGCCTATGATTGAAAAAACTATGACAAAGCTGATTGATAAATTGGAGGCTGTTGACCAATGTCCATCACCCTTAGTTATGAAAAACTCATCTGATTTAATAAAATTGAGAGAGTTATTCCATAAACTATGGATCTGTAAAGCAGATGACAACAAAGAGGTTGGCCTATTCATGATGATGA